GATAAAAAGTTGTGTTTTAAAAATAAGTATATTTACATATTTGAAGCGTTTAGATGCAAAAACCTCTAAATGCAATTTAATATTTTCTTCTAAAATGAGCATTTTTCTCCAACCCCTGTGTGTGGACTCAGTTATTTTACTTTTATAGTGACAAATACATTTTTTTCATTGCCTTTAAAGTGAAATAACTGAACATAAATATACAAGGCTGAGAAAAATGCTCATTTTACATGGCATTTAGAGGTTTTGGCATCTGTACTGTACTTCATTTCTTTATTCTAAGAATTTAAAGTCCTAATTTCTAGTTTAAAGTATTTTTATTATTTATAAAACTGTAATAACACTTACAGTTTAAATGTGTAAATAAAGCAATTTGACAAAATGGTAGGAAATAGTTTTGGTACATCAAAAAGTGTAGTTATAATAACTATTCAACAAGATTATCCAGCAAAAATTTGTTCTTAATATGTCACTAAAATGTAATATTTATACCTCAATTAAACAGAAAATCAGGTGAATAACTGCAAAAAGGTTGTTTTTTTCAGAAAACAAATAACCCCTTTTAATAAACTGGCTACAGGCCTGAAAGTGTTAAGTTAAAATAATGTTTATTAACTAATAAAGAGAGAGTGTAATAAAGACTTTCGTTCATTTTTCGTACAAATTAAACATGTCTCATAGTATTATTAAAAGATGGAGCACAGGCTGTAGTTTTTCTGACAAATTGGAGATTTTTCAACCAAAATTGGAGATGTTACTCTAAGAGATTAGGAGAACTGGCAGGGTCATATACGTTTACATGTAGGTGTTTATTCTGCAGTTAGTTTTCAGGGAATATTGTTTACAGACTAGTCTGCTTTAACGTTAGACAGGACGTAAAAGCGGTGAAAACACCAGCATAACGGCATTATCATGATGGACTCATTCAGTAGCGAACTTGAGTTTATTTGACCTACACTTTTCGTTGGATAAAGCTCTTTATGTCCACCTCTTCTTGCTACCTTCATGCTCACTTGTGCAAGGCACACACCTCACACATAGGGAAATTCCCCCCGCACAGTTGTTTTGGCGCTGTTTGTATCTGAAACTATGATCTGAATGCAGCCACTCACATGACAGCAGGGAAAGGCACAGCCAATCACAATGTTCATATGTGTTTGGGGGCGGTGCGACTCGAGGAGAGAACATGATTTAACCCTTTCGGCATGTCTAGGTTTATACTGACAGCGCGATTTTTTTTAAGTGAATTAAATTATTGGTGGGGACATTTCGGTAGTTTGTGGATATTGGTGGGGACACGTCCCCACTGTCCACCCTAAATCTACACCCCTGATTGTCAAACATCTTAAACTGGTAAAAAAAAACAATACATCATAAATATATGGAATATACAAAGTTTGAATTATAATAATACAATTTTAGTTAGTTTTGGTAATCTCATATTAGAGCAATGTTAATTTGAAGAATGATGATTAATCCACATTAACAAAAATAACTGAGCAAAAGAAAGCAGGTGAAAAACAACACCATGTCCGATAATGAAATCTTTTAAACAGTCGCGCGCATCACATCAGCTTTTGGCGCAATTGATCCTCCTCTCATTCGGTATTCACAGTAATTATTTAAAGAATAAACTTACAAAGGACACTTAGAAATGTAGTCTTGCAGACAGGTATCTTGGGATGAGAAGGGCCGCAGGAAAAAGGCAGTATTCCACTGTAACAACTGGCGTTCGTCTTGACATCAGCAGAGAATCACAGACGCAGGATTATTTGATTCTGGTCCACTTTTGTAGCGTTTTTATACATTTTTGTGACGTTGAAGGCTACATCACATTTAACAGTTTGTCGGCATAACACAGACCATCATTACTCGCATTATACTGACCAAACTCGGAGTACTTCTTGTCTACTTTAGCTCTCTTTGCCACTGGTCCTTTACCTCCGTTTTTTTCACATCTGGATTTACATATGAAGCGCGCTTACTGAGAGGCGGGACCACGCTGCTGTAATGAAGCCATATAGGAGAATCCGTACAGTCCTTACTTTTATATGGATTACATAAAAAGAGATCATTTGTTTTCAACTTGAATTGGTTAATGCAAAAGTAGACATATCAAGCTTTATATAGATATCAGAAATCGTAATCTTTGTTGACTATTTGCCGAGTTTCCTTTCATTTTAGTGACGTGTTTTTCTGACCACCGTCTGCTCGCGTCTTGAGACGCTTGTATTAACAATGCCTCGTGGGCGTGGTCGCATTAAAACTAATGAGATCAGACTGAGAAAATAGACATAGCGTTGATTTCATACTGATTACTTTATCAAACAACGTTTGTTTTCAACATGCATAGCTGCGTTTAAAAGTAGACACTTTAAGCTTTCTAGAAATACGTTTCATATGTGTGCGTTTTGTATTCGCGGAGTTTCAGCGCATTTTACTGACGCGTTTCTAAAAGCAGTTCACGGAGAGAGAAAAGACAGAATGCCTACACTGTTTGTTTTCCTTATTTTGCAAAAGCACACACGTTTGTTGTTGTTGTGAGTGTACAAAACAAAAAGTAGACACATAACAGATTCGATTGATGTATTGATCTTATCTGTACGATCAAAACTGAAAGTGTAATTTAAGTTCATTTCAGCAGTTTGACGACACCACAGGTCAAAACGCGTATACGCGGCCTTTGACCCCAGAGGGTTAAAGCATGCGACCTGCTTTATGCTTTCCTTCCTTAAGCGCAGGAATAGAAGCCCATTCATTTATTAGCTATCCAATTTCACCCTCAGTATATCCATTTTCACACAGACGCCGCCCCCTCCGTAGGGGATGTTAACAGGGCCGCCGATGCGCTTCTAACGGGCCATATCGCGGAGAAATTAATAGTCTGCCCCCAATATTCTCATGTGCCTTTACAAAGAAGTTGCCGTTCTCTGCACTAATAAAGGGCTTTATCATTATCCTGCTAAGGCGGCTCTCCATCGCTACATTCTGAATTCAGCAAAAAAAAAAAAAATCCATTATAATTGTTGTACATGTTCCTAGTTGCATAAGGAAATCGTTGACTCTCTTTTTGCTTTTACACACAACATACTCTCCAAAGCAATTGCACAATCAGAAAAGGCTACCTATCTTTTCATACAAAACACACTCTAGATGCAATGTATATTCTTGCTTTTTCTTTTTCGGATTTCTCAGATGTTCTGAATTTACAGTAACACCAAATTTCACATACAGCTCTCTCGCCCGTAGGAGTGCCAAGAGCTTCGACTCTTGCAAGAGTCAGTAAAAAACGCCCCTCCAAGGCCCTAGATTATCCCATTATATATTTATATATCTATGTTTCATATAAATATATAATTATATATAGTGCTGCCACCTCCCAGCTCTATCTCCGCAAGGAGTGTTCCTTGAGCAAATTACTCCTTCAGAGTCCCCGCCCCCCCTTCCCCCCTTCACCCCCCTCTCCAGCCGGAGTCCTTCCTTCCCCTTCCCTTATAATGACTCCAGCAGAATTTCCCGTCCACCCCATGGCTCTGACCCCCGCAGGGGTCTCCCCGAGTCTCTACTCCCGCAGGAGTATTCACAGCCCACGCCAACTCTGCTCGGGTTCCCGCAGGAACCTGTTTCACCCTTTGCTCCATAGGAGCCCTCTTTTCTTTTTCAAATAACCATATCCAGCAGCCGGATATAGCATTTCAAGCCTTTTGTGGAGTTTTTTCGAATACACGGCTGCTGTCCCAAGCTTCATGCATTTGGGGAGCTCTCGAGAACCACCTGATCTCGTACTCCCCTCACATGCTCTACACTGTTATCCCTAAAGTTGAATTAATTCAAAATATTTAGATTCAATAAACATAAATGCCAAAGTTTTTTCTCAATTACTCTATTTGTTTAGTTTGTTGTACGATTTGGATGATATTTTTGATTCTACTGGAATGTTTAAATTGAATGTATTTAACAGAGCTTATTCTAGTCTGTTGTCAAAGGAACGAATTGGAAGGGCAAATGTGACAGGCTCTTTGAACTGACGTCACTGGTGGAGACCGCATGAGCGCGCATTTTCTAATGTCTGTGCTGGACACTGTGAGTATTAGTATGATTTCATACTTTCGTCCCAAACAGCTAATACATTGTTTTTTGTTTAACAAAGTATGTAGCGATTAGAAAGAAAACTACATGTAAGACTAAGCTGTGTCTAACGTTAGTTTCATGTTAATTTTTGATATGCTATTGTTCTGGTCTGTCGCAACCGCCATTACCACAATTATAAATAGTTCTAAGACGTTCAAAATGCCAAGACATGCGTAATAGGGTTCGTGACATGTGAAATATAGTATGTAAAAAGGTTAATATAAGTTTTGAATGTGTAAGCGTGTTCATTTTCGCTACGTTATAACCGATCGCGGCCGCGCATTCTTAACGTTATATAAACGTAGAGTTACCATCTAACATTACGTGACAACATCGTCATATCTAAAGTTTAATGTGGACGTTGCATTCGATAAGTTATCCTCATTAACAAAGCTTTATCTGTTTTGTAAACTGATTACTTTTTTTCAGTGATGGTAGCTCTTATGGCGGCTCACTTGACTGCGGTTCAGAAATGTTTAGCTAACGGTTAACATTAACGCGGATAAAGCCCAAATTTATCACTGACCTATTCGAGCTTTTTATATATATGTATATATTTCTCCGTTAGTGAAGTATTAAATGTAGATTGCAATGAGATTTGACCCTTTCTTTGCATGATAGAAATATGAATCCATGTTAGCAGTTTTCAAAGATATGCAACCTCGTGCTCCTCAGCATGGCATTAGCAAGTGCATTTTCAGTTAATTCGATTGAAAAGCTAACGTTAGATAAATACCTGTAGCACTCTAAATATTTTTGTGGTTAACAATAGCTGTTTGTGGAAAATTTCGTGATAACAAATCAAAATATGTAAATGTGTTGTGTCAGCTCGTAATCTAATGTGTATTTCTGTAATTTTGCAGATTACCTAAAAAGCAGATTTGCACATTACAGAAAAATCAGAGCAAAGCCAACCAGGATGAGCTGGAAATGTAAGTATTGCACATTTTCTTGTGACAAAAGAGGGTACTTATTAAAACATTATAGAATTAAACATGGGAGCTATGCAAGAAGCCAACCATTTCCATGCATATATCAGGAATGTTTGTGTACGTTCAAGTCTTTCAATAGCCTTAAAATACACTTATCTCGTGTTCATACAGAAAATGAAAAACAACAGTCTAAAACGATAATTAAAGTGAAGTTTCGCTGTCAGCGTTGTGATTTTTTTGAACCCTGTCAGATTACTGAATATTTTGCCCACCTTCAGCGTAGACATCTCAAAGACCACCAAAAAGTTCAGTGTCCATTTCAGGGCTGTAACTTTGAAAGCAGTGTATGTTCCACATTTAGTGCACACAAAAGCAAGCATCACAAAGATCAAAATGAGACACTGTTTAAACCAGAGTTAATAGTAAGGATAGAGAGTAATGAGACTGAAAATGACAGTGTAGTTGACACTCAGGAGGAGCATGCTGCACAGGAGATGCTTCTAGGTGAATTTGACCAAGATGTTTTGAATGCAGAAGCAAGCGAGACACAATCTCAAGATTTAAGACAACAGTTACAATTTAATTTAGCTGCTCTTTTTTTAAAAATGCAAACCATCCTTCACATACCAGAGAGCTCGGTTCAGGAAGTAACTCAACAGCTTTGCCAAATAATTCAATTGTCCCAGCCACTTTTGCAAAAGAACATAAAGGCTGTTCTTCAGAAGCACTTTGGACATGTAGATGAGGCAGTTGTGAAAGAGGTGGTTGAGGTTGTGGCAGAAAGTGACATATTGTCTAAATCATGTGGAAAAAATGGATGTCTTGCAACTAGTAAAAGAAGAGCATCATATGTAATGCGCAACTTTGCTCTGGTAATGCCTATGGAGTTTGTAGTTGAGAAAGGCAGAACAACTGTAGCATATGTCCCCCTATTACAGATGCTACAGAAACTATTGAACAAAAAAGACATTTTGGATAAGGCTATGTCAAGACACGAACATAAACCAGATGAATACAGGACATGTAGTGATGGCTCAGGCTTTAGAGGGAATGCCCTTCTTAGTAGTGATGAATTCACAATCGGTTTGGGTCTATATATTGATGATTTTGAAGTGGCTAACCCTTTAGGAACATCTAAACGAAAACATAAGATGTGTGCACTTTACTGGGTCATTGCAAACTTGCATGGAAAATACAGATCTACACTAAACTCTATTCAGCTTGCTCTCTTGTGCAACACTGAAATAATTAAAGAGTATGGTTATGAAAGAGTTCTGCACCCACTTCTTTGTGATTTAGCCACTCTTGAACAGCATGGTGTCTACATTGAGCATCTTGGTAGAAGTATTAAAGGAACGGTACTCTATGTGTCAGCAGATAACCTTGGTGCTCACTCTCTTGCAGGATTTTCTGAAAGCTTCATTGTGGACAAGTTTTGTAGATTTTGCATGGCATCCAGGACTGATGCACAACACAAAGAGGTAAGATCTGGTGCATTTCAACTTAGAGGTAGAGATACACACAACAGGCAGGTGCAAGAATCACTGCATGATCCAAATGTATGTAGAGAAACAGGTGTGAGACGACAGTGCCCACTCACATCAATTTTAGAACATTTTCATGTCATTGGTGGTTATCCCCCTGACATATTGCATGATGTTTTCGAGGGAGTGGTCCCAGTGGAGTTGTCAGTTTGCCTCAAAGACCTGATAGCAAAGAAATGCATCACTCTAGATGTATTAAATGAAGCCATCAAAACATTTCCCTATACGTTCACAGACAAAACTGATCAGCCTCAGATGGTTTCAAAGGGCTTCTCAACCAAGGGCACAATTGGGGGAAATGGCCATGAGAGTTGGTGTCTGATTAGGCTTCTTCCTTTTCTTATTGGCCATAACATTCCTGAGGGTGACAACACATGGGAAGTGCTCATGTTTCTCAAGGACATTGTTGCATTAATTGTGGCACCTCGCTTTACTGAAGAGTCATTATACATCCTTGAGTGCAAAGTGGCAGAGCATAGGAATCTTCTGCAGTCAACCTTCCCTGACTTTACACTACGACCAAAACACCACTACATTGAACACTACACTGAACTAATTAGGGTACATGGTCCACTTACTGAAGTCTGGACAATGCGTTTTGAAGCGAAACATAAGTTCTTCAAAAAGGTTATACGTGATGCTCAGAACTTCAAGAATGTTGCCATGACCCTTGCAGTGAAACATCAGAGGGCTCTTAGTCATCAGTTGGACTGCAGTTCTTTTTTCAAACTGGGTGTGGAAATGACCAAGGTTACACAAGTGTTAGTTAACACTTTCCCAGAGAACATTCAGAGAGTTCTTGGTCAAAAATTCCCTCAAACTCATACACTTCTTGTTGCACCATCTGTCTGCATTAATGGGATTGATTACAAGACAGACATGATACTTTCAGCTGGATCATGCTCAGGGCTACCTGATTTTAAACAAGTAACTCAGATTGTTGCAGTAAATGCAGAGGTACATTTTGTGTGCAAAGTCATGACATCATGGTATTTTGAGCACCTTCGTTCATATGAGCTTTGCTGCCCAGTTATGCCATCTTTTTGTGTGCTTCAACTTGAAGATCTGAATGATATTATTCCCCTGTCAGCATATAATGTACATGGTAAACTGATGGTGACATTGAAACGTTTTATTCTTTGCTAAATTGGTTCTTTTGTCATTTCCCTCTAGATGGCCTCTCAAGAAATCATGATTTTGCGCGTTATTCTCACAGAAGCTGATATCAGAAAAGTCACACTGACTTCAAAGCCATGTTCAGTTGAAGATTTGATCAACTGTCTCAGAAACACTCTTGGACTGAACTATAATTTTACATTGCAGTTTCGAGATCCTTTCTTTGATCATGAATTTTGCAATGTAACTGCTTTGGAAGAGCTCCCTGAGAAGCCAACAGTAAAAATTATCCCAGTGCTTGAATTGGTGTCAGTGGCAGAAGATGAAATGCAGTCATCAAGTGAAATATCGAGTAATGCTCCAAGTACTGCAGATACAGTACTGATTTCTGAATCACCCCAGAAAAAGAAAATGCCATGGCCTGATATCTTCTTGATTCCGAAATTTTCGGTCGACGTTGAATACAGGCTGCGTCAGGCCAATTTAATCTACTAGAAGGATGGAACGCATCTAAAAATGACAAAAGAACTGAAACATGACATTCTTCAGAAACTTGCTGAAACCATATACTCCTTCAAAGCATACCCATCTGCTGACGATTTAAAAGGTGTTGCAAAGGCATTGGTGAATACCCACCCCTGCCTTCAAGAACCAGGATCGCCTTCTGGACACTGTGGGTGGACAAACAGTTTGAAAGACAAAATGGGAAATTACAGATCCAAAATGAGAAGCCTTGGGCACACAGATGTCACAGTTAATGCAGGAAAAAGAGGAAGATACTCTACTAGCAGTGATCCACCTAACAAGAACATAAAAAAACCAAGGAAAGGAGAGGTCAACTATCTACCTAACCTTCCAAGTGGTCATGATACTTCCAGTCTTGAGTTGCTCAGACAGCAGTTGGCAGATGAAACGAAGAAAAAAAAACCTGATGCTACCTTCATTAATCAGAATATGGATGTGACTCTGTCTTTAAGAAGACAGGAAGTTGTGATCAACAAGCCTCCTGTAAGCCAGATACTTCAGCGTTGGCCAGCACTTTTCACTGAAAGTCAGGTAAAGTGTTTGTAATAAAACTAATACAGTATTGATAAACATGATAACATATTTGATAGTTGTTAATTTTTAATGTTTCTCTGTTGTTAATTTACTTTTTGTGTTTTACTACTACAGGTGTATCAAGAATTCAACCGAATAGTTGGGAAGAATCTGAAGCAAGAATTCTATGGGTCTCTTGATCATCACTGCCCACAGCTGATTCAGATCTTCAGGTCAAAGAGAGGTCTCACTGGACAGATTTTAAGCAGTCTTCTGCTAGATGCCAAGGTTTGTATATGCAATTGTTTGTACATGCCATTGATATAAATCGATGCCATTGTTTCCTGTATTTTTAAATTGATATAATTACTTTTGAAATCCTCAGTAACAGACACTAAATAATGATACATGAAAATTGCCTTTCTCTCATGTTGACATGATACAATGTTTCTCTGCAACTGCAACACCTTAGGCCTCTGACCTCAGTGACATGCGATGTGTTGTCATTCGAGGGCTTCCAGTACTTCTTGGTGATGACCCAACTGAGTTCTTCAAATCATGTTTTGTAAGTATCATTGATAAATTTTTTTTGTATATTAATACAAGTTTTTTGTATTATGTTTCTTAATGTGCATCTATGTTAGCAATAACAATAAATAAATCACCCAAACAATGTCTTATTGTAGTTCATTTATAAATGGAATAATGATAAACGAGGAATTCGAATTCATGTTATAACACCTTTAAAACTCTAATATGCTAAGTAGAATAACATCAAATCTTTAGTAATTTAATTGTATCAAACAATTTAATGCCGTATGCAATGACTCGTATACAAAAAAAGCCATTTAATGTTTTGTGGTATCTTTATGTTTTATATATTATTGAATACTGGATATGTTTGGGGATACAATTCACAAAAATGCTTTAAATACAACAAAAAAAATATTCAATACAATTAATATATATTAAAATCAAATGTACACCTCTAAGATTTATTTTTGTTATCTGTATATTGTTGTCAGGCTTCTGATGATGGAGACTCATACCAACATGTGCCCGTTGGAATCCTTAACCGGGAAAATGAAGATGCTCTGCAACCCCTGTCCTTCCGCCTCCACCCATCCTCAGTGGGAATCATCTTGGAAGGGAATGTTGTAATGGACAATATAGACAACATACCCCAGGCCATGTGTCTTCTTTTTGGTTTAACTTATGCACTGCACCTAGACTACCCAAAGTGCATGGGCAATACCCTTCTTTTCATTCAACAAGTTCTGCTGGGTTTGGGTAAGAAGGAGCTGAAGGGTAAGATTCTGGCTGTCAAAAATCAACTTGCCATGTAAACAGGTACAGAAAAGTCATGTTCCTTTAGGCTTGCTGTTCTGCTGTAACTGTGATGGAAAAGTGTAAAACTTTGCCTTAGTGTTTGGCAAGTGTTAATGTTCTATAATGATACGGTGTAATGTAGGATTGTCACAATACTGGAATTCGATACCAATTGGTACTAAAATTTTAAAAATGTTCATTCCCGCTTACATTCAAGTGCTGTTGAGCGTGTTGTTAAACAGCACTGATTTGCCATTGTGTTCACATGCTCAACAGAAATGACTGTGAAGGTGTTCGGTTCACCTAACTCACCACTTTTTATTGAGCGTAAACCCAGATACAGGGATACTGGAGTGTTTAAAGTCAAGTTAATCAGCTGTCTATAAGCTGACAAGCGATCCACTGATGAATTATGGCTTTAAAACGCTCATGGGTCCCTGTATCTGTGTTTACACTCAGTAAACAGCAGTAAGTTCAGTGATCCGATGACCACAGCCATTCACAGTCATTTCTGTGGAGCACGTAAACACAATGGCAAATCAGTACTGCTTAAGAATGTGCTTAACAGTGCTCAAATGTTAGCGGGAAATAGACATTTTTTTTTTTTAACTTCAGTACCGATTGGTATTGAATTCCAGTATTGTAAAAACCCTTGATATACTGTGGTTGTTTAATATTTAAATATGTTTGTAAAAACAGTTTAAAAGGTTTTAAATAATTGTTTTAATACGATTTATAGTAATAAATGAGTAATTGTTATACAAGGCATTTTCTTGTTTTGTCACTTGTTTTTAAAAGTGATATTTCTAAGTGATTTCAAATAAATTGTAAAGTAAATCTTTCATCTTTGTCCTTGTTTGTAATGTAGGTGCATTTTCAATAAATCATTTATAGTGAATTGTTCAGGTTAAATTAATATCTGTCAACATTTAGGTCAACATTTTATGTTTTAAGCCTATACAGGTTGATTGAACTTAAAAAAATTATGGAAACTCGCTGCCCTAAAAAAGCTAATTTTGTTTTGTTGAAAAAACAAGACTTTTTAGGTTTATTGTACCTAAGATGTCAATAGTGTGCACTAAAAACCTTTATTTAGGTCAACTGAATGTTTAATTAAATGCATTTGAAATAATAAGTACAATAAACTTAAAAAGTTTTGTATTTTCAACAAGACGAAATTAACTTTTTTAGGGCAGCGGGTTTCCATAATTTTTTTAAGTTCAATCAACCTGTACGGGCTTACAGTGTATGGACCTGGCGGGAGCCCTGTGCTCAATTGTCTCCGAGCTCAGGGTTCTCTCCCGGGACAGCATGCCAAACCTGCTTACAGTTGTCAAGCAATATCTTAGTGTGAACTCTTGAAGTGAAGTTTTTCAAACTAATTTTGAGAGAAGCACGTGATATAATTGACTGCAGCTGGCCGCCTATCTACACTCATTAGTTAGCCAATCAGATCTATCCTAACTCACTATAAGTAGCCATCTCCATTCTGAGTTCTCTATTCCAAGGGCACCAGTTGGATTTTATTCAAAGATACGAACATATATAGCACCACCCAGCCCCATCATCCCTTATTCTTATTTCAATCTCAAAAAACACTGATGCTTGCTGTCAAAGGCTACATTTATTCATTGTCATGAGAGACACAGAGAAAATAAAAGCACATCATTGTATTTTAATCATTTGATGATTAATTACAATGATTTATCTTTAATATAATAATATAATATAGTATTAATAATTAGGCTAATTTTAATATATTTTTTGTTGGTCAGATATCTACAAAATAAACAAGAATAACATCTGAGGTGCTTCAAAACCAGTCTGCTATATGCTTCAGCGCCAAAACACAAATTTTTGTTGTTAAATAAAAAATAATCTAGCCTAAATAAAATTAAGTGAAATATTCAGTTTCAGAGAAGCCTATATTAAACTGTTTGTCACTGTTAGTGACAAAACCATCTGTTGCGCCGGTCAATTACAATTTAATTTGTTTAATATATATATATAATTTTTTTTCTTTACATCTCCCACCATGCAAGTACATACACACTTTAAATCCCACCTTTATTTATTCTCATTCTTTCTTGCTTTGTCAGTATATTGTAGTGTATACTGTTTAAAATTTACATTATTTAATAAATAAAGAAATAAATAAATAAGCGGCATTAATTCTCACCCTCTCATGGTTGGTACACACAATGTAGAGCCCTACGGCTGCAGGCGCCACTACTTTCATCTTTCCAACAGAGTTTGTTCTATTTAAAGCGTGAAACTGTGAATTTTTGACTTAAATTTTATTTAGGCAAGATTATTTTTTTACCAAACCAACACAATCTCACGGCAACTTGTGCTTTGTTGCTGAAGCATAGGCCTATAGTGGACTTGTTTTGAAGAACTTCACTTCAAAGGTTGTTCGTTATTCTTTTTATTTAGTAGTTAACTGGCCAACGAAAAATAAATAACAATTAAGATACAAATTATAGCTGACGAAATTCCTTTCCAAAAGATTTTTATTTTTTTTCCCAAGAAACATATATGAATTATATTTTTTTTGTGCCCGTCCAACAGTGCGGTGATGACTTGTTCCACTCCGTGAAAAATAAGGATTTAATTAATTCTTCACTGCTTCACACCTGCTGTTCTTTCATTTCATGTTCAGGCAAGGGAGTGTTTAATAGCAACATTGGCAGAAAAATATACAATTTTAAAGAATATATATTAATATTAAAAAGAAAACATAAAAAATCAATCCTATCAGTGTCATAACAAATGTCTTTAAATAGTTATTAGGCCTAGTTGTCAGCCAGCATCAGTGTTTATTGAGACTGAAGTTAATTAAATTGAGATAAGAAATATTGCTATAGCAACACTCCAATACAAAACTCATTTTATCTAATTTTTAATTGCGACTTGTAAAAAGCATTTACGTCCTCGTCCTTTTTTATGAACCATTTTTCAAAGCTTTAAAGACACCTGACTCTTTGTTTTATAAACACTTTATTCACGACACACACTCTGCCAATTTTAAGTTTTTAAGTCATTTAATTCAAGTCATTTTAAGTCATAAGTTTAGATACAGCTTGCAGAGAAAAGAGAAAAAATATATTTCACATTGCATGTTGCATTTAGTTGGCCTACTGGCCTAAACAAGCTTTTGCTTAAACAAATTTATAATAATTTCTGTTGCCAGTGCAAGTTTTATGCACGCGCTTGAGTGCGGAATAGGCAATAAGAATAGATATATAATTCTGCATCATATCGAAGGAATCATAAGTTTGATCCTATCCTAAGGAATGCCCTTAAATAAAGTAATTAGTTGTCTGCAAGCATCAGTGTTTATTGAAATTTAAATAAGATAAAAAAATTTAATTGAAATTGAGATTAAAAAACTATTGTTATAGCAACATTTGTGACTGCTCTGAAATAACACTTGTCGTAAACGTCACAGGATGACTGATCGTAAAGGAACGTGTCGTCTGGCACATTTGCTACCCACGACAAGTCGAGATTTTCTCAAGAAAAAAAAAAAAAAAACGCATGATCTGACATAGTGACTTTCGTAACCGACAATCAAAATCGTGTGATCTGACCTGACTTTGGAGATAGCTGGAATACTCTCCTCTCAGAGGCATCCTTGGTTGCCAATCAGATGGGGGTGCCACCTAAATTTAATGAGGAGGAAAAGAGAAAGATTCTCTGATGAGAACCCTGACCCTGAAGAAAGTCAGAAGCACAGTGCTAACAAAGTGTTTTACAACACTTTTTTTTTTTTTTTTTAACTGCCATGGACCACATTATCTGTGATTTGGACATGCTTCCAAACAACTGCAAGCACTGCAGAGGATTTTGCTGCCATGATAAAAGTGGGGCAGATGAGGGACTCTAAAATTGCAACTGTGTGCCAGCCACACATAAGGAAGTATACCAGGGAACTCACACCTCAGTTTGAGGATGAAATCGGGCATCTGAATGCAATACATCATCACCTTCCAATCTGATTTTTCTCCTCTTCCTCTCCTAATTGAAAATCATAAAAAGCAACACCAGAGCATCAACCATGTCTCAGGACAGGTTAAACAACCTTGCTGTCCATTGAAAGCCAGTTGGCTTTAAGTCTGGATTTCAAGGATTTGATTGAGGATTTTGCAAGCAAGAAGGCCAGGCATTTGGCACTTGGAATTTAAGTCACTGTCAGGTTAATCAACAGACTGTTTCAAATTTCTTGATGTTGTGTTTATTTGGTTTGCAGTGTGCTGGATTTTGCACTCTTTTAATATTAATTTGTTTGTTATTTTCTTTTATTTGATTGAAGATTTTGCCAGCAAGAAGGTCAGGGTTTTGCCATTTAAGTAACGGTCAGTTTAAACAAAGAACACTTATTTATGGGTCTCATTGTAATATAATTTTGTGTCTTATAGATTTTTTTCATGTTCCAGTGTATTGCACATTGTATGAGACACCATTGCAGTACAGTCATTTAAATAGTTACACTTTGTGTGTTTAAAAAATGTACAATTTTCAGTGAATATTTGATTACTGTTCCTTTTTTTGTACAACATTTACATTTGAACTATAAATCATCTGCTAACTACAGCCATGGCTGTTCACTTACTAAATACTGTAGTGGACAAAATCAATAATAAAATGCACAGTGTAGGTCAGTACTATAACTACATTGCAGAAAAAGAGTTTGGATAGTTAGCTTGGTAGTAGAGAGCCCATCCTCATATTTTTTTCATGGGGCCCAAAATTGCTTGCAGCACCCCTGTGCGAGGGAAACTGGAGCACCCAGAGGAAACCCACACAAACGCAGGGAGAACATGCAAACTCCACACAGAAACACCAACTGACAAAGGTGAGACTTAAACCTCAAGACCTAGAAAGAACTCTGGCAGCTGCATTTTGCACTAACTGAAGCTTATTAATAGCAGATGCTTTACATCCAGTCTAGAGGTCATAAAAACATGAACTACTGTAGCTTTCTGCTCCTGCAGCGAGAGGGATCTGAATGCAGACCTGGTGCAGTGAAATCTGAGCTGCATCTAATGCTTTTTAATATGCACAATTAAGCCCACTATTAACCCTCAGTAGCCGCGTTTCCACTATCGCGCCTAAATCGAGCGAGACAGGGAGAGCCAAGGTCAGTGGCATTTCCACTATAACTTCTGGGGCCTAATCGGGCCAAAGTGGGGCTTTCTTGGGGCCAGCGGCCGGCCTTTTTCGGCACGCCGAATACCTTGGGCCAAGGAGGGCCAGCTGGGGCTTCGGGGCGGAGTGAAAGAAGAGGCGGGCAGTTTTCTGATCGCACATGAGTACATGCGCCAAACAAATAAATAAATAAGGGAAAGAAAACATCTAGCCCTATAGTCTGGGGTCTTTTTGCGTATGATCACCCTTATGTTTCTCTTTTAAATGTAAGACTGCTGCATAAAATAATAAAGTAGTTTTAATTTATAGTGATGTTCTTTGCTGCGTCCTCCTTTATGTTTCAATAACGCCTAATAATCTTTACACCATAAAAACACAGCAGTCAATAAAGGTTTTCGAGAGTTTTTGTTCAATTTAAAAAATGTGTTTGT